CTCCCTCCCTCCCCCCCTCTCTCTCTTCTTTCTCAGATAATGCCTCAAGTGATCAATCCCCAATTTAGAATCACCGTGTTTGTGTGTGTGTGTGTGTGTGTGTGTGTGATGGGTGGGGGCAGGGGTTCAGATGGCTTCTATGGGCATGTCATTTCTGCCCTGGTTGTTCAAATCTTGGCCTTTCTTGTTGAAATGTGAAATTCATTCATTTGTTCTTTATTCCTGACTCTGAAATAACAAACCCCCCTTTTTAATAAACAGCTCACAGTACCTTCCTTCCCATTCCAAGTTGTCATCCAGTAGGAAGTTAAATCCTAATGGGGCAGGACAACAAAGAAATCGAATACCAGGGCTGCAGGGGGTTCATTGAAAATGAACAGTGGTAAATATATTAAAAAATGGGAGAGTCGGGCTAGAGAGATGGCTCAGCTGTTAAGAGCACTGACTGCTCTGCCAGAGGTCCTGAGTTCAATTCCCAGCAACCACATAGTGGCTCACAACCATCTGTAATGGGATCCGATGCACTTTCTAGTGTGTGTCTGAAGACAGCTGCAGTGTACTCACATAAATAAAAAATAAATCTAAAAAAAGGGGGGGGAGAGTCCTCTTAACTGGCACATATTACAGCTTGCCCAAGGGTCCATGTGAAATGAATTGATTGTTAGTGTTGGTGGTACAAGGTGAGCACAGAGCCCTCCAGGAAGGGCCAGTTAAGTTTTTCCAATTGTTCAATTAAATTAGTATGGTTTTGTGTACTGTGCCTTGGGATGGGATCTCGGGGATATGGGAAGTAGGTTAAGAAGGACAAAAAATATAAAGATGAACTGGGGTATAGATTAATAGGAGAGTACCTGCTGAACATGCAGAAGGCCTAGGGGGTCAATCCCTAGCAATGAGGGAGGAAGGAAGGAAGGAAGGAAGGAAGGAAGGAAGCAAGGAAGGAAGGAAGGAAGGAAGGAAGGGACCTAAGATAGTCAATCCCCTTAATTAAGTTCATATGTAATAAAGAACTGAGAGGAACATACATAAATTGCTTCTTTATTTTTAAGACCTTAAACACACAATTATAAAACTATAGATTATTAAGTTAAAAACCTCAGTGTTTCTATTGCCTCTCTTAATCCGCTATTACCATCAGTAAGTGTCATAAGCAAAGGAAAAGTTAGGTTATACATACTTGGGTGTTTTGTTTGGGATTTGGCTTTTGAAATGTCATGATTATTTCATTCCTGAGCTATCTTAAAACCTTATTATAGAAAACCAGAAAAATAAAGTATAAAATGTGCACATAAATATCACCACACCGTAATCAAAATAATCTACAGCAACTCAATGGGTTCTCAAGGTAAGGTAATCATATTCTCAACAAAGCAAAGACTGCAACAGAAACCACGCCCCCTCCCAGCAGGGCTGCTCTCCTAAGGGGATGTCCAGCACTGACTGTCAGCTGCTGGGTAGCCTATGTGTGGGATGGGACCTGCATATGTGCTTCTGGGAAATCTTTAAAATTATAAACCTTCTACAGAAAACAGGATTTTGTGAAGAATAGCGTCCCAGTAAAATCCTTATAAAACATTAGTTACCATTTGTACACACAGCTTTTAGTATTCTTCATTAAGTCAGACTCAGAATAACAAATGTATTTCTTCTCACATGCAGAACCTAAGTACACAATCCTAACAAGACACTAGACGGTGGATGAAAGACAGCAAAGAAACACAAAATGTATTTACGCTCATTTTAAAATTTTTATTATTTGAGGCAGGGTCTTAGTATGTGGCCCTGGCTGGCCTGGAACTCAGTATGTAAACCAGGCTAGCCTTGAACTCAAAGATCCACCTACCTCTGTGTCTGCAGCTGGGATTAAAAGTGTGCACTAAAACATCCAGAATATTTGTTCTTATAAGTGAAATCTAGATTCCAGTGCATGTGTGTGTGTGTGGGTGTGTGTGTGTGACAGGGAGGAGTGGGGCAGAAGTGGGGCTCTGGAGGGAGGATCTGAGTGTGGGAGGATGGGGAGCAAAATGATGGAGAGAAAATGAGCAAGGTACAATGAGATATTATTATATGTCACGATGGGTGCTGCTACTTTGTGTGCTAGCTAAAAATCTCCAATAAAATGTTGGGGGAAGGGGCTGTGAAATGGCTCAGTGACTACAGGACTTGCCACCAAGCCTGACTACCTGACTTTGATCTACAGAATCCACATGGCAGGAGAGAACACAAGCTGCCCTCTGACCTCCACAAGTGGGCCTCTGCATAAACAAACACTACATCATAAAAACCCCCAAAGACCAATTTCTAGTGATCTATAGTAACTCACTTAGCATTCTAGTTAGCCTCACTGTTGCTGTGGTAAGACACTGACCAAACATGAGAAAGAGGGAAACATGTTCCAGGCTTGCAAGTTCCCTGGAGGCTGGAACTGAAGCAGAGCCCACAGTGGAAAAACTGCTTACTGGTTGCTCTCCAGGACTTGCTCACAGCACCCATGAGCGTTTTTATTCAACCCAGAACCAGCTGTCCAAGTGTGGTACTATCCTGATGGGTGGGGCCCTCACACATCAATCCTTAATCAAGAAAATGCCACCAACAGGTCCACAAGCCAAACTGATGGAGGCAGTTTCTTAGGTGGGGAAGGTCTGTCTTATCAGGTAGGTCTAGTTTAAGTTGACACAAACTAGCTAGTACAAGTGGTTATGGGCAAGTAATGTTCATTGAATGAACATCTGTAAGTGTGCATTGTTCACCAATGGGTGGGGTGCCGTGTGTCTCAGCAGAGGGCACGAGCAGCTGTGTCGCCTCAACCATGGCTACCTCTCCTCCTAAAGTCACTTACACGTATGTGCTTGCCTACTTCTCACAGGTATCGTAAGAAGTCAGGAAGAGAGATATCCAATTTTCTGGTGGGCAATATTATTCCTGAATTTGGAGATCAAAGGAAAATGAATCATAAAATTCTTTCCTATCATTTTATATCTTAGAGGTCTTTGCCTCATGTGCCAAACCAAGATTGAAAGTTTCCCTAAATTTTTATATTTGTGTGTGTTGTGTCACATTTGCACGCTTGTGGGAGCTGGTTCCCTTCTTTGAACACGAGTCTAAGGGCTGAACTCAGGATTAGCAACAAGCACCTTTACCCACTGAGCCATCTTGCTGGCCCCTTTTTTCCCGCCTCCCCACCCCAAACTAATTTTTGGATTCTGTGAGTATCTGCATAATATCTTTAATGTAAACTTTTTTTTGCAAGTAAGCTTTCCTCTTTTCCTGTTTTCAAAAGTATTTTAGTGGAAATACATGTTGGATAGCCTCACGGCTTCCTTAACTTACCAATTTCCCTTCTGTGTGTTTTCTGGTCTCATGACTAAAATAGTCACATCTCAACATAAGTAACAGACACCGCCTGAGGAAAACTCTGTCCCTTATTAGACTGTTCACCTATCATGCATGAAGGCCCTAGGTTCCATCCACAGCACCCTATACAGGCAGCCAGGTGCACTCAGGTGAAGACCTGAGACCAGAAACTCAAGGTCTCACCCCCACCAGCTACACAATAACTTCAAGACCAATTTGAAGTACAAAAGACCCTATCTCAACAAAACCAAGTAAAAATTAATGCCTAATGCTATTTGACACATATATATTAATGTATACTCTCCTAAAATACAGTATGTGTTTCTGGTCAGGCCCCTGCATAAGTGGTATACATCTGGCTTGGAGAAGAAATATTAGATGAATATATAATAAAATTTCTCCTTGGAATTCTATTCCTTCTCCAGCATTAATACCAAGAACTGTCTTTTTTCCTTTTTTTTTTTTTGAGATGGTATTAATGTAGCCCAGGCTGGTCCAGAACTTACTATGTCACCTAGGATAACCTTGAACTCTTGATTTTCTTGCCTCCATGTCTCAAGTGCTGGGATTACAGCTGCACACCCAGCTTTGGAATCTAGACAGTGTCTGCCTGTCAGACTTGTTACATACCAACGGAAAATTCAGTCTCCCTGTTTCCGGGAGGCACCGGGCCCTTTCCCACTTCTCTGCTGATATTCTGGAGTCTTCTAGAAAAATTAAGTGCAATCCAAAGGTACTTTTCAGACTCACTGGGTCTAACACCACTGCTCAGACAGCTCTCCCCAAACACCCACTGGGCTGTAGGCTGTCTGTTCCTATTTAACAGTGCTTTCAGCTACCACACCCAGCAGGACTTCATCACACAGAGATAAGATACAGTCCCCTCTCTTGTCACCTTACACTGTAAGTGCTCTGGACATCAGCTTGTGTTACACAACATGGTACCAGACCAGTGAGATGGCTCAGTCGATCTAAAGTGCCTGGTGGTCAGAGTGAATGGAGAGAACTAACTTCCAGGAGATGTCCTGACCGCCACACACTTGCTCTCATTCATACACAGTAACACATGATAAACAATAATACGAACCCAAAATCATGGAGTGACGGCAGTGAGCTCCCCTTAAATGGCAGTGAGCTCCCTGGCGGGAACAGCGGGCTACAAAGAGAAACAGTCAAGCAGGCCGTGGGTGGAGAGAACACTTGGTTTGGATTACAGCTCTGCCACTAATTAGTGTGAGTCATTTAAACTCATCTCCATCAGGGGAAGGGAGAGAGAGCTTTTACCTCCATCTAAAGAAAAGAGGGAACCCCAGGGTGCTTCTCCTGGGGTTATGGCTATTCTCAGAGAGAGGCCGGTGCCTACACCAAAGTGTGTGAAGGCATCACCTGGATTCATCAGACCACTGCTGCCACCAAGTAAGCAAGCGCCTTCATCTCTTCAGGAGCCACCTCCTCGCAGTCAGTGTCACCTTCTGTGCCCAATGCCAGGACCAAAATAAAAGTATTTTGTTCTGGAAAAACATGAAGAAAAGGAATGCAAAGCATAGAACCAATAAAAGCCACATGTGCTAAGAGCTTTGTTTTTTCTCCCCAACACTTGCCAACAGGGACTTTCACAGAACATAAAATAAAATTCCACTCCGCAATCCAATGGGTCATCATCAATTTTTATAGCAAATAACCTGCTGTGAATGACAGAATTCTTGATCAGAACAAAAATCTCTCAGAGTTCAATATGATAATCGTCAAGTTAATTAAAAAGGAAAGTCACATGTTCTTAAAAAATCCTCATTACAAATAGGTAGGAAAAAAATCCTTAATTTAAATGAGGTTTAAGATTATGCTTAGTCATTAAATGTATTCTGAAAATAACATCATGTTTTTAGAATACAAACAGTAATTACTTGGTAGTATCCACAAACGAATGACAATGGATTCATTCACTGATGAATGAAACTTGGTATTGCATTTTCTCCAAGCAGCAAATTTAAGGTTCCTACTGATTAAAAAGTATCACCAATACCACCAAAACCAAAAAACTTCTACAAACAAACCAACCACCAAACCAACTGTCAAGCAAAATATTTTTAATTAGTAGGCTGATCATAAATAAATCCACATAAAAGATTTAACAGAATTAACAAAGTTTCATGTTTCTTTTGTGGACTTAATTCATAATATGCATTAGTCAATCTCATTCCCTCACTGACAGAGCTGTCATCCAACAATGCAGCACGGTTGAAGCAATTCATAGTCTTAGTTACATTTTACATTTTCTTTACAAATGTAACACTTATATACATTATATATATTTTTTTCTATAGTTCATGTACTGAAACTCTATTGTCTTTACAGGGAAAATGTTGAATTCATTTAATGAGCATGAATCATTCCTGTTCAAAAGTAATTCATACAAACGAGTACCACAGTACCGCTGCCCTTTGGCATCTCTTGTCAGAGTTCAAGTCCAGCAATGTTAATTGTATGGTGACTTCATCTAGTTTTAGATTGTGACATGTCATTCCATGGTCCTCAGGTCTGCTGGCTGGCAGAAGAGCACTGCTGCTCTCCTGAGAGTGCGCAGAAACCGACTCCATCTGATGGCTGTGGCAGCGTCCTGGGAGGGCTCTGCTCTGTCTTGCTCTCTCTTCCCGTAATCTCTGGCCCAAGCCTCAGACAGAGTGATGTGCGTCGTGTCTTCTAACAGCAGTTACCTCGTGTCAAGTCCCCTGTGTGCTTCTCCGATGGATGGAGCTCCCCCTGGCCGTGGAGTGGTTCATCTGACTCAGCTCTGTTTACCTCACTTACAAATCTGCTGCTGAATGTGAATCAGAAACTCATAGTAGGAGAACGCGGCTTCTGTGCGGTCTTCAATTAAATGCTGAAAAAAGTCTGCTTTGGCAGGACTCTCATCTCTGAAAGGCAGAAAACAGCATTTATCTAAAATATATATTATTACAAAGAAAAGCTATACATTGTAGACATCACTACTACATGGGGCTTCAGGAAAATCCTGAAATTTGCTTTGAGGAGAAGCACAGGAAGGATGACGCCATCAAGAAGTTATGGAAGACTTACTTTACCATGTGAAGGACAGGGCTTAATGGTCGGCTGTCTCTAAGCCAAGTCACAAAGGATCTAGTTCTTTCTGATGGAAGTGTGTCTAGCTCTGGAAGATGTGTCTGGTAAAAGAAATAGAATTAGAAAACACAAACACATGGGACTCCTGAGCATACCAGTCCCCTTTCAGGCTGTACTCTTTTTAGAAAATGTAACACAACAGTATTTAACCCTGTAAGCATGTGTACATACACAATTTCACAATGAACAGCTTTTGGGAGAAAGAATTTACTGTAGTGTACACTGTGTGATTTAATTAGTACGGCTATCCTCAACAGGCTCTCTTAAGAAGTCTTAAAAACCTTTCCCATCTTGTAGATAGCGGGGTAGCAATGGAACTGGGGCTCCCAGGGCCGCCAACGACAAGCCAGCATTCTGCCCTGAGAACCAAAAGCAACAACCACATGAATGGAATTTCAGTTGTAGAAAAGAAGTGTGCTTCCTGGTAGGTATATGGATATTTTACGTGACTACTGTATTGTTCTAGATAACCCAGCAAAGTCTACACAAACTGATGTGCTACTGGGACTCTTACAACTTCTGGTTTCTTCTAAGGCAATATTCAAATGAAGGCAATCACTAAGCTCCAAATTCGCCTTAAAATTACACACATAACTTACTTGAAAAAAAAAAAAACACATTCCAAGAATTTCATTTTTCTTCGATTTTTTTTTTTAAAGATTTACTTAGTTTGGGGGCCTGGAGAGATAGCTCAGTGGTTAAGAGCACTGGCTGCTCTTCCAGGGGACCCAGGTTCAACTCCCAGCATCCACATGGCAATTTACAATTGTCTGGCACACAAATCTAGGTGAACCAATACCCTGTTCTTGTCTCTGTGGGCACCCAGCAGACATACCCATAGGTAGACATACACAGAAGCAAAACACTCATGACATAAAATGAATAACTTTAAAAAGGAAGAGTTCCCTCCTTGTGCCTAGCAGGATAAAAAGTATTTATGTCTACGGGTGTTTTGTCTGCATGCGCGTCTGTGCACGGTGTGTCTTGCCAGCATGTACGTCTGTGCACGGTGTTTTGCCTGCATGCACGTCTGTGCACATATGTTTTGCCTGCATGCGCATCTGTGCACGTGTGTTTTGCCTGCATACACATCTGTGTACGGTGTGCATGCAGTGCACTGAGGCCAGGAGAGGGTGCTAGATCCCTTGGAACTGGAGTTACTTGGAACCACCGCTGAATTATCATATATTTAATTCATGTCAATACTTAATTCTTTTTAAATAAGATTTTCAGAAGTGTTTTTTGTAGATCTGTTTTTGAGACAGTCTTACTGTGTAGCCCTGGATGGCCTTGAACTCACTACATAGACGAGGTTTGCACTGAGCCCAGAGGTCTGCCTGTTTCTGCCTCTCCAGTGCTGGGATTAAAGGTCTCCAGTGTTACCACAGCAGACATCTATTTATTTATTTGGTTGTTTTTTATTTTCTTAGTCACAATGTAGTCAGGTTGGCCTTAACCTCCTCATCTTCCTTCACCCATCTCTCAAATGCTGGGCTTCTAGGTGGATACAAGCATCCCTAGCACAAGAAAAACAAAACTGAAAGGAGAGCTCTCCATCTTCAACAATCCTGACACTTCGAACCGTATTCCTGGGGAATCACTGCCATATATCAGCACCTGTGAGCCTAAGTTCTAATGACTTTAGTGCCTCAACTTTAAGGCTAACCTCAAGGAAAACAACCCACTCCATAAAACTTACTGGGCACAATAGTGAGATGCCCACTCTACAGCCCTGTACCCAGCAAAAATGGCTCATGAGACATGACCAAGCATTTCCCCTTAACTTCTATACAATCCCTCCCCTCAGTCATCCTGTCCTCCGAGAACTTGCCTACTGGCTGTCCTTGAAGCATATTTTAATGAATCCTTTCTCTGCTCATGTACCCGATAAATAACATTTACAGTCACAGCAGCAGCCTTCTAGACTGTCTCAGAGATGACAGAAAGGCCAAGTAGTGTATAACTCCATTAGTATGACTTATCGAGAATAGGTAAAATCATAACAAAAACTAGGCTGATAGTTGCTGGGAGGATGGGGTAACCGGACACAAAGGGTCTCTTCCTTGAGTGTGGTGGGAGTGTTTGGAATTAGACAGTGGCGCTGGAGAGGCAGGATGAAAAGGGAAACCAAGGGAAGACAAACAGAGCCTCCGGAGCCCGAGAATGACTCTTGTCAGTTGGCAGTCAAGAGGCTCAACACAAACCAACAAGACCTGCTGTGGAGACTGAGCTAGACACTGTGGCTGGCTCCCACAGTCCTCATGCTCAGGAGGCCGAGGTGGGAGGACTACTGCAGATTCAAGGCCAGCCTGGAGTGTGCAGTGAGTTCCCGGATAGCTCAACTAAACGCAGAGACCCTGTCTCACCATCAACAACAACCCCCCAAAACCAAACCAAACCAAACAACAACAAAACAAAAAGATCACCTAAGATACCTACAGACCCAATATTCCCTTATGACAGCAATTATTTCAAACATGAATGTCTGAATATCATAAGACATGCTTAATGGCCAAAGTGTATATGACATTTGAGTGTAGCCTTACTCTCTTTGGAGGTACAAGCACACACCCCTTTGAGAGGATCACAAAAGAGTAGGAACTTTGAATACAGTCAAAATACATGTCTAAAACTCTGTGATATGGAATAGTAATGAGTCCTGCAAATGATACACTGCGAATGTATCCAGCTATACTCTTCAAAACGGTAAACTAAGCCAGATGCCAGAAAACACGCCTGCAATCCTAGCTCATGGGGACAGAAAGACTGCCAACCTGAGGCCAACCTGCTTTATAGAGTGAGTCCTAAGTCAGCCTAGACTACATAGAGAGATACCGTTTTAAAAAGGGTGGAGGAGGAAAGAAAGGTAAACTTACAAAATATTTATATTAACAATAGCAAAAATACCAACATACATACATAAATAAAACTTAATAGTGCAAAAACTGTTGACGAAAAGTTACTTCCTCTAGGCCTAAGTTTGACAAGACCCTTGCAGCGCCATCAAGGAGGAGAGGTAACCTTGGTGTGCAGTCATGCAAACAAAGTAGGTGGAACAACACCCTGGCAAGTTAGGTCTATGCAAAGACAATGAGTCTGCTAATACTTCCTCTGGGAGAAGCCACACCCTCAGCTGGGTTCATCCACCAGGCTCTCCTGCCTCCCACCTGTATGTAGGTACTGAGGAATGAAAGAGGCAGGTTAACTGAAGGGGACTCCATGGTTAAGTGTCCTAAGAATTTTGAGTCCCCCACATCTGTGTGGGTAACCGCGCATGTATGTTCCTGTACGTAGGCCAAATAAATTCACTGCTCACAAAGCTGGCTTGGATGGAACTCTTGCTTTGTCTGTCTTCAGTGTTCTATCCCAGGTACTCGGACATTTGTTTACCTCCTCCAGAAAAGTACCCACACAACACAGTGCACTGACCATTTTCTGTGGGATTGACGCAAAGTCAGGATACCCAAGCACATGCTCTATGAAGTTACTGTCACAGCCTTTGCCAATCCAAATGTAGAAAACCTGAAACATGAAAAGGGAGGGGGCACAACATTCAGTTCCCTTATAGAAAGTCCATTACAACTATTTTGGTTATCATATATATCATCACTACACTGTCTCAAACATGAAATCTAACAAACATAAAGGGGAGATATAATTAGAGCATTGTGAACCTAGTTCTAAGAATCAAAAGCAGTTCCCATTGTCTGCTTAAATTTTAAGGCTTCTTATAATATTTTACATTCTTCCTCATTTAAGGTTTATTATTTAGGTGCTGGAGAGATTGCTAAGTGGTTAAGAAATTCTCTGCCCTTGCAAAGGACCCAGGTTTGGTGCCAGTATCTACATGGTGGCTCATAACCATCTGTTTAACGCCAGCTCCGGGGATCCAATGCTCTCTTCGGATATTTCCAGGTACCAGGCATTCATGCGGTACATGTACATATATGCAGACAAAATACTCATGTACATAAAGTCAAAATTTTAATACTTTAAAAATATTCTTTCTATGTGTATTTTGCTTATATGCATGTTTGTGTACCTCTTGTGTGCAGTGTCCAGAGGCAGATCTCCTGGAGCTGAAGTTACAGATGGCTGTACACTGCCCCATGGGTGCTGGGAACCGACTCAGTGAGAACATATTACTTTAATGAGAAAGCTGGCCCTCCTTCTCATTCACTCCTTCTGCTCCTGAGTTCCGTGTTGTATACACTTGTCTTGACTACTGGACGCCCTCCCCACTCCTGAGCAGTGAGTGACTTCTCCATTCCTGAGCAATGAGTGACTTCTCTGACTACTGGTCACCCCTCCCAGACTCCTGAGCAGTGACTTCTCTGACTACTGGACACCCCTCCCCCACTCCTGAGCAGTGAGTGACTTCTCTGACCCTGGCAATGGATGGAAGTTGAATTACAAAAGAAATTCTTGAGCTCAACTTGAATTTTATGATTCTGGTGGTCAGGTTCTTGATGGCAGTAATTCCTTTTCTGAGTATATCTAACTCTTATTTGCTAATTCATGCTAATGTGCTGTCCTTCTATAGGGTCTAAAGTAAACTGAGCCCCTGTGCCCGGTAGATTCCTTGTGTCACATCTGCTTATGCCCTGTCTGTTCGGTGAAAACAGGGCCAGACTGGGTGCTTCGTCTGCCAGTCAGAGCAGAAACTCTGTTACCAGGATGATGCTTACTGAGCCGCAGTCCATGAGGAAAGCGCCTTCTCTGGTCAGTTTCTCAGCAGACAGTTTCTGAAGAGGTGGCTGAGGCACTACCCTGTCATTAACATGTATGGCGCCCTGAAGAGAAAAGGTAGAACTCAGCCACAGAGCAGAGCATTGCTACCAACACTAAAATACGACACTTCCATTTTAGAGACTGACAACTCTACTGACTGGATACCATGGGTTCACAGTAGGATAAACATGTTCAACTGTGTTCCAATTTGAAAGGTAAAAATGTCCATGGATCGTCTGTCTCACTCACTTCCCTTCTGAGGTCAGTGTTAAAAACTACCACATTGGACTACCACTTTTTACAACATAATACAACACATGGAATGATAATTAAGCCTCAAGAATACAGCTTGAAGATAAGGAAGAAAAGATACTCTACAGCTGTGCATTTAATTAATTACTAGATAACAGACCTGGTTTACTATGTAACTAGTCCTGCAACCTGGACACATCACAAACTGCCAATAACTACAAAATGCAAATGGCGATCACTCAAGAACTTAGCTTTGAATCAAATATTAAAAGCAAACCCGTGCTGAGTTCCTTCCCACAGGCTGATAGCATTTGAATGTCCTCTCCGTACCTAGATCTCTAAGTACCTATCTGAATGCTTATCTCCACGGACAAGAGCATGGAAGACCTAACCTACAAAGTTAGGCGTGACACCAAAACAAGCCCACCAACTGCACTCAGGTACACACCTCGTCTGTCAGCCTGTCTATCCTGTATAAGTTGGGATGGATCATTTTCATTAGATGCACAAGTGGCTGCGACTTCATCTGACACATGGCGTACACACGGTCATCCAGGCGCGTGCTTGTGCCTGTTCTAAATGCTTTCTGCAAGGAAGAAGACACACGATCCAAGTGAAGCACACATGTAGGAAGTCAACAGCAAGCAGTCCCAGGAAAAGCTCATCTGTAAGTCCATACACTTAGTTTCAAGACTCAGCTGATATTTAATAGGTAAGGAAGTAAATTAGTATCTCTGAACTATCCTGTCCTTGTGGGAAAAGCAAACATTCTGCAGGTTGCTGTACCTCACAGCACCTGTTAACAGGATGCAACAGTGGGAAGAAAGGCAGTCAGTAAACCTTTGACCTTTCCCTTAGCAGAGTCTCGTCCAGAAATACATGTGAAGGGCTGGCTTTGACGACATCATAATTCAAACTGTTCATTCAAATGAAGTAAAAAGGACATACGCTTTGACAGGTGTCACGGAGCCTCTGCGCACCTCCATACCTCACACTTTCCCCTGAGTTTTCAAGTCTTAAACTGCTAAAGTTCATAATCCTCTAGCTAAGAACCGAAAACAACAAAGACTTCATTTCTTCGTTTTCTTGAGATTGTAAAAAACTGATAGAGAGAAGGGAGAAAGACAGAGAGAG